CATGCTCGCCGTTTTTCCAACATGGCGGATTTCCTGTCGAGTTTACAGAAACATGCTAATGGACTTTTTTGTGCGTCACAAGTTGTTACACATGTGTAGCAAATGTAGTAGTTGTAAATCAAACATAGCCCCAATGGGAATCTGTTGATTGCACTGGTGTGCTCGGACCCTAATAATAAATAAGAATAATCACAACGGTTACAATAGGGTCCTTGCACTGGTGTGCTCGGACCCTAATAATAAATAATAATAATCACAACGGTTACAATAGGGTCCTTGCACTGGTGTGCTCGGACCCTAACAACAAGAGTTTATCTCTGCAACTTCTTTTTGAAAAATTCTTGTGCTGTAATTAAAGGAACACTTGTAAGATTTGTTCAGATGTGTAAATATCAGTATATATGTTACTGGTTAAGAGTAAATGAAGATGGCACACAGCACAAGTGAAACATTTTCATATTCGCCTAAAATTAAAAGAAGCATTTTCAGGATAATTATCTCTTTGCAATGATCCAGCTACAGCTCTAAACCTCTCCCAAATCATAGCACAATATGTGAACATTCTCTCTACAAAGGCTGACTCTGATAACATGAAGCAGAACAAAACTAGAGAGTGTTTGGTACAGACAGTTCAGGCGAGGTCACATTTTGGCACACTTGTGACCGTCCGTGCCATCCGAATTTTCTTGAATATCACTAATGGTGTTCAATACATCCAAATACAAAATTCATCCAGACTGCTATATATTTTCCAATTCAAAAAATAACCACACAAAACAACTGAATGTTGAATCCAAATGGAGCAGTTTCTTTTTTTTTTAAACAATCTGTATAAAAAAAAAAAAAAAAAGAAAGAAATGTAAAAAAAGAAGGCAAACTAAATATTTCTATAAAAACTGTACACACATAAAACTAAAACAACTATTTATACTATTGTCCATTTATTTACACACATCCATCACGTCCAAGTTACTGCCCATCATGCCACAGCTGGAAGCAGTTCCTTTTTGCGCTGAGGCAGAGAGGAACCTTACACCTCCTGCAAATCACAGGTGTCTTCACCCTGGGCCTTTCAGCATCATGGCACCTCTTACAATACCTCCTGGCCCGATTTTCCTGGTTGTCAAGGAATATGGGCATGCAAGATGTGGAGGGAGCGGGTGGGATGGCTGCTGAGCCTTTAGCAAACTCAAGCATCTCCTGGGCCAACTGCTCCCTGTAGGTCTTTTGGGTGAAGGGCTTTGTTTGAGTAGGGTCCTTCCTCAACTTGAACAGCTCCTTGTGTAAGAGGAAACTGTTCACTGTAGCGATTTCCACAAAGTGGTAAAACAAAGTCTTGTACCACTTCATGGTCTTGTGGCTGATGTTGTAATATGTCATCAGTGCATCCGATAAATCCACACCACCCATGTTGCGGTTGTAGTCGATGATGCTGTCCGGAACTGGTATGAGCTTGTTTTTCCACTCCCCAGCCTCCTTCACCTTTCTCTTCACTGTCAGTCCACTGTAGGCCTGATGCATCGTGGAGCACATTGCAACCTCTCTCGTGTCCATCCACTTTACGAAGAGGAGTTTGCCATCCCTGATCCAACGTATGTCCCCCCTCTCAGCCTTTTTGGGCAGGTCGTTGGTCCGGTTTTGAGGGAAGCCAGTGTGATGTTGTCGAATAGTCCCACAACAGGCAATGTTCTTCTCGGACAGATCATTGAAGAGAGCGGGGCTTGTATAGTAATTGTCTGTAAACAAGTTGTAGCCGCTACCAAGGAGAGGAAGAGGCAAAAGGTCAATCACTGCTGAGTAACTCAGACCGCGAGTTGTGGGGGACTCACTTTTGCCTGTGTAGATGAAGAAATTCCAGGTATAGCCTGTCAGTGAATCAGCCAACACAAACAGTTTGTAACCCCACTTTGTCGGCTTGTTCTTCATGTACTGCTTCATGCTGATCCTGGCTTTACTTCCAACCATCCGCTCATCAATGGACAGATTCCGATATGGCTGGAAATGGGCTTTGCAGGCGTTCACAATCTCCGTATAGAGGGGCTTCAGCTTGAAAAGTCTGTCATACTCAGGAGTGCCCTTTTTTTTGTCATTTTCCTCATCGTCTTTTGGGTCGCTGAGGTGAAGTGACCATATAATTGCCTCAAGGCGGTCCCTGCTCATTTGGTCACCGGGGAAGGAGAAGTTGTATGGCCATCTCTTCCTCCAGTAATCAGACCTGTGGCGTACGCTCACAAGGCCACTGAAAAGAAGAATGGCTAGGAATGTGTAGAACTCCTTCACCGTGAGCGTTTCCCACTTGAACTTCAACCCAGCTTTTCGTCTTCTGGCAGCGTTGGCATTTGTGTTGTCAATGACTTTTTGGACAACAGACGCTGAAAAGAAAAGCTGGAAGAGGCTGAGGGGAGACCATGCCGCGGTGGTGTGAAATGTGGGGCCTGGGGTCCTGGCCGGCATGAATTTGGGTAGTTCGGGTTTGCTGTCCTCTTCCTCTTTGTTATGCCACTCGTCCTCGTCATCCTCTATAGGTGCAAACAATTGTTTTCTACGCTTGGTAGCTGGAGAAGTTCCCAGAGAGGAGCGTTTATTCTTCTTAATGGTGGAGGAAGGTGTTGATGGTCCTGACTGAGGTGTTACCGCCGTTCTTCGACAATGTGTTGGCCGGGGCTTCTTTGCAGATCCTCGGACACTGGCAGAGAGTGGCTCGTAATCGTCATCACTGTAAACCCAAATGTGGAAGAAAAACAAATTAATGCATTCAGTGGTCTAGTTCTGAAATTGTAATACATGTAAACAAAAAAGCAATGAATGGTGAAAATAAACACACACTGTGCTGGAGAAGTCAACACACACACGCACTCACACTCACACATACATACATCAGAATCAGAAACAGATTTATGGTATAGTTCACACAATACGAGAAATTTGTTCTGGTGGGTTGGTGCAACAATACAACAATAAATATAGAGTAAACAATAAATAAAGTAATGAAAAACAAAAATAACTGTAATAGTGCAAAGAATCAAAGTTAAATTGAAATAAGAACCACAGAACGGTAATGTTGTTTACAAGAGGATTGAGGGTGCAGATATATTGATATTTACATTTATACAGATATAGAGGGGGCAGGGGGGTCAGTGCGGGTCCTGTGCCTCGTTCATGAGGCAGGTGGCAGATGGAAAAAAACTGTTGTGGCATGAGGTTCTGGTCCTGATGGACCGAAGTCTCCTGCCAGAGGGGAGTGATTGAAAGAGTTTGTGACCAGGGTGGGAGGGGTCGGCCACAATCTGACCTGCATGCCTCAGAGTCCTGGAAGCATACAGATCCAGGAGAGAAGGCAGATTGCAGCCAATGACCTTCCCATCCAAGCAGATGATGCGCTGCAGTCTGGCCTTGTCCTTGGTTGTTGCTGCAGCGTGCCAAATGGTGATAGAGGAGGTGAGGATGGACTCGATGATGGAGGTGTAGAAGTGCACCATCATCTTTATTGGCAGACTGAATTTCTTCAGCTGCCACAGGAAGTACATCTTCTGTTGGGCTTTCTTGATGAGAGAGCTGATGTTCAGCTCCCACTTGAGGTCCTGGGTGATGATGGTGCCCAGGAAGCAGAAAGACTGCAGGGTCCACTGGGCAGTCACTCAGGGTGATGGGGAGGAGTGGGGCTGTGTCCCTTCTGAAATCCACAATCATCTCCACCGTCTTTAGAGCGTTGAGCTTCAGGTTGTTCAGCTTGCACCAGTACACCAGCCGCTCTGTCTCCCTCCTGTAGGCAGACTCATCTCCATCAGAGATGGGTCGTGTCGTCCGAGAACTTCAGGAGTTTGACAGACTGGTGGCTGGAGGTGCAGCTGTTTGTGGACAGGGAGAAGAGCAGAGGGGAGAGAACACAGCCCTGAGGGGATCCAGTGCTGATGGTCCGGGAGTCTGAGATGTGTTTTTCCAGCTTCACATGCTGCCTCCTGTCAGACACAAAGTCTGTGATCCACCTGCAAGTGGAGTCTGGCACAGTTCAGCTGGGACAGCTTGACCTGCAGGAGAGTCAGGATGATAGTATTGAATGCAGAACTAAAATCCAAAAACAGAATCTTGGCGTAGGCTCCTGGGGAGTCCAGGTGCTGCAGGATGCAGTGCAGGTTTACTGCATCATCTACAGACCTGTTGGCTCTGTAGGCGACGGGTCTGAAGTCATTCAGTACAGATGTCCTCTGCTTTTTAGGGACGGGGATAATGGTGGAGGCCTTGAAGCAGGCTGGAACGTGACCTGTCTCCAGTGAGGTGTTGAAAATGTTTGTGAACACTGGAGACAGCTGATCAGCACAGTGCTTCAGGGTGGATGGAGAGACAGCGTCTGGCCCATTGGCCTTGCGGGGGTTCTGCCTCTTCAACAGTTTGTTGACACCTTTCTCCATCCAGGAGAAAGGTGTCACTGTGGGAGGAGGGGAGAGGAGGGAGTGGGAGGAGGGGAGAGGGGGGAGGAGGAGGAGGGAGCCTCTGAGGTGAGGCTCCTGCTGTGATGGGGGAGGTGCATTCATAAACACATACATTCTTTCATTGTGTGCTCAATTTATTTTATTTTTTTTTCAGCACTCAAATGTCCTGTTGTGTGCTCAGAATAGTGTCACTGCATACATTTTGAGTGCATAAAGAAACATTTTGAATACAGAAAACAGTTCAGTATACAATCCAACCACGTGACTCTGCGCCAGAATTTTGCCCTGACAAAACTGCCAGTACTAGATAAATTTAAAATTTGACACCAATAAATCGATAAATTCATTCATTCATAAGACAATCCATACCTTTCCGACGATGGAAGGACGTAATCCACGTCATCGCCGTTGTCCTGTGCGGGACCGAGCAGATCCTCGTCATCTGATGATGAATCCAGAGCACAAGCCAGGCTCCCGTCGTCCTCCTCCAGCATTCGGAGTACTTCCACTGTACTATGACCACTAATTGGTCCTTGCACTGCCATTCTTCCGTCAAAGAAAGTTAAAATAAAGCTGCAAACACGTACAAAACAAGCTGTGCGTTATGCGTTCTGTGCGTAACGCTGGTCAAACCGCTGTGCAGCTTCTGTGGTCACGTAAGGCTGTATCTCCGTAATGGCTTGGTCGATTGTTGTGATTGGTAACGCCTTCGAATTGCTACAGCCAATACAATATAGCGACAGCCTCCAAAGTGAGATTGACAGCACTTTTAGCCAATCAGAATCAGTATAAAGTTTTTCACTAACTTCACTTCTTATCATACATATAAAATATTCATTCCTTTTTTTTTTAATGCTTCAAATGCTAGTTTGTTTGCACAACGCACGTGTTGTAAAACAACCTCAAAAATGACCACTGTCTATATTCCCTGTGCCACTAGTTTTTCTTGTTAAGATAAAAGAACAATCTGAGATATGTACCTGGTTAACAGCAAGCTTGATTATAATGCATTATTATTTTTGAGCAGAGAGAACAAAGTAGAGAGAACTCCCACTCGGCGTGCTCCTGGTCAAAAATGGCCACCTCCTGTTTACATTCCCAAATGATAGTGCGCATGCGTCACCGTGTATGCAGCCTGTTGCGATTGCTCCTGTTCCTTTTTCCTGTTTTCGGCTATTTTTACTTCTGGTAGTATTATTGTTATTACGTTGTATATACACTTACAACAGCAGAATGTATTTTTTGGTGTTATATTTTATTTTCATATTAATATTTTATTATATATTTTCATTTTCCTACTTCTTTTAACACTTTTGATTGGGAGCATCTGTAACTGAAAGCAGTTTCCTCGAGGGGATCAAGAAAGTATCTCTGATTCTGATGCTTTAAAATTAATATACATTAAAATATTTTTTTCCACTTTCATCAATTTAACAAAATAATACATTATACCTGATTATTTTCCATCATTGCAACTAAATGCACGTCAATAATTTGCAGTATCAATGATATTTATGCATCATTACTTTTTTGTGCAGTGACAAAAGAAAAGCTCCCACTCAGCGTGCTCGTGGCCAAAAATGGCCACCTCCTGTTTTCCAAAATGCTACCAAAATATACCACATATTAACATTATTTTCTACTTTCAACAGTTAAGTTTTTAAGATTAGAATCAGTCCTGACCATGAAATCCCAAATTTCATTCAACTTCAGAATTTTCACCCTTTAAATTTGATTTAGAGGGGCATTGTAGCACAAAAAGTATCCCGTCCCATCTTGTCATTCCACATGGCATGTGTTGCTTCATGTCTTGAGCAGTAGATGCCAGTCAGAATCCTGATATTGGCTCTCATCTACATTTCATCCACATCCCTCCAATCCTCACACCTCCTGCTCTCATGTAGGTTTTCATGGGTACACAGCAGTTGAATCCTCTCAGGGTGGGCCCAGAGGTGATACCAGTGGGTACTAGACTGTAGTGCAGGGTCTCTTTAGCAGTGGGAAACCACACAATTTTCTCATTACAAGACATCCATTCAGCCTTGAGCCCAAAGGCTACTTTGGATTGTTGGGTTCTGTTCATATTTGTAAGGTCTGTACCTTACTTTGTCATGGGCTATATGATGACATATGTTGTAAACTGCACTATACAAATAAAATGTAATTGAACTAAAAATGAAAACAATTTTACCTAACTTGTATGATTTAGTACTGTGAATAACAAGGAAATGTAGTTTTCATGGGTTTCAACTGGCTAAAAGTGCCCACGATAGAGCCAAGAGGTACAATTGTATGTATACAGTATATTTTGAATATATTTAAAGAGCTGAAATTGAAAATTAAATCTGAAAAATATTCACACCCTTGGGAAATGTTATTCCATTTGCATTAACACAGCTAAAATGGTCAAAGAAAAGAGAGTGAAGTGGACACAAATGGCCAGCACAGAGACCAGAGGGTTAATGCATTTTACTGGGGGGAGCACCACATAAGATTTCTTTACCTATTAATAAAACTGTGACACAAATTCACTTCATACAAGCTTACAAATTTTGCATTTCCTAAAAAAATAACTGTAGTAACTCAGGCTTTGTCGTTAAAAGTGAGAAAAGGCTAATTTACTGCATCTATCAATGAGTGTAGACATCCGACAAACACAAGGACACTGGATCAGTTTGTTTATACAAATATTTATTCTTCCACAAGTCTCTTGAGCCACAGTTTAGATGATGCCAATCTGTAAAAAGACAAACACAGAAATTACACAATGTTCACCAAAACACTGCACAAATTTGTCCCTACACTATCTGGCATCAGTGGTTCCTTTGAATGCATCACAGACATTCAGACACATTAAAAGTTTACATCACGTGCTCAGGATTGAAAAACACAAAAATGATCTGAGACTAGCTTCATAAAAAATCTCAACTCCCCATTTTAACCAGCTGAATGAAGGCTCACCTTGTTTGCAACATCCAACGCATCATAATCTGGTGCGAGACGAACGTACGCCTTCTTCTCACCGTCAGGCCTGAAGGGTAGGTCAGAACAGAAGAGACAGATGAAGCAATGAAAAGAATGTGCTAAGACAAATCAGGAAGTCTATATTGATATGGGCTGTTTAAGGTTGTATGTTATATACATTAACAATAATTAGAATTCAAATTCTCCAAACACTACATGTAATGTCTGTCTACTACTAAGAACAGGCACTCCAGAATATACACGTGATTACAGTGAGCTGACATGATCACCTATCATAGTTCTCGTATGTATCATGACCAGTATACGGAAAAGAATGCATAAAATATTGTCATTGTTCAAGCAATTCAGTTTAAGCTGAAACTAGGCTTCAGCTCAGCCTGGGTTTAGATTTCTACCTGATGAGTGTGTTGACTTTGGCGACGTCGATGTCATACAGCTTCTTGACAGCGTGTTTGATCTGGTGTTTGTTTGCCTTGACGTCCACAATGAACACAAGCGTGTTGTTATCTTCAATTTTCTTCATAGCAGACTCTGTTGTCAAGGGGAACTTGATGATGGCATAGTGATCCAGCCTAAAAAAAAAAAAAAGAATTATTGTAGGATTAAAATCTTTACTTCTGGTCTGTAAAACCTCTAAAGGAAAACCTAACGTTGATCATTTATTCTCTACTTAGAAACATGAAACAATACGTTTTTGTTGGGTGCATCAGTAGTTAATAAAGCTGGAATCATGCTTTGTCATACTTTGATCGCTTTTACCATCATGTGCACCAGATTTATTCCTTGTCCATTTGTTATAAGCATACAATCATTGTAACTCACTTGTTCCTGCGAGGAGCGCTCTTGCGTGGATACTTGGGCTGTCTGCGGAGACGGAGGGTTTTAGGGCGACGGAAGGTGGGAGAAGTCCTGACTTTCTTCTTCCTCTGGCTGTGGACGCCTTTGAGCACAGCCTTTTTGGCCTTCAGAGCCTTTGACTTGGCCTCAGTCTTGGCAGGGACAGCTAAGGAAGAAAGGCACCATTTGTTATGACAGTCCATTTGCTTGTTTGTAACTTAATAATAAGCCATACGTTAAGACATTTAAGAAAATGCAAAGATCATCACCAAGTCCTTACATTATAGATGACTGTATTCTACTAATACAAGTCCCAAGTGTGTTCATATCTGACCAAAGACTGCTCCTACACTACTGAAAGCATCACATGCCAAAACACTATTATATTCAAATACCGTGATACTAAAACAAGCCTTTCAGTGCAAAGCTCGATCTAACATCTGTGTGTCTCAAAATTTCGACATAATATTTTAACGCTCTCGATGGCAGCCAATATCTATACACAAACAAGCTTCCATTTATACAATATACTTTCATTGCGGCCTACATATGCAAGTGACTGGAACTCATCAACTTCATCTCGTCCCATGTGTACAGTCATTTCGGCCTTTCAAACTGCAATTACTCTCCTAAGACATAAGCATAACACGCAAGACACCTAATTTCACTTTACAATATTACATAGAAAAAAATACACGTCCGATGTTTTAAAACCAGAACCTGCTTTCACGCAGAGCTAATGCAACGATTAATACACTGTAGAGTTGCCCTGAATGCTAACACACAAACAGCTAATACCTTCTGTATAATACCTACAGCTAATAACCAGGAACTCTCACCGTAAACTAACTAAGCTTTGTTCATTATAGAATGTGTAGGAAGAAATCAGAACAAAATAAAACGGTAATTAGACCACGTTTTGCTCAGCGGCATCACCGCTAGCACGCCAACATTAGCTTAGCTAGCATCACGTTACAGCATACATGCCGGAGACACAGTCTGCGTTATCTACATATTTCTCCAGCCGACAGCAGGACCTTGAGATTATTTAAGGCACTGTCAATTTATGCTATCATAGCGGACTTGTATGTCGACTATTAGAGGCGTTATTTGTGTAAAATGTACCTTTTATTCATTTAAAATTATCAGATTGACAAACCTTCCTTCTTCACCTTCGGTGCCATGTTGAGAAAGGAAGACGGAACGGGGTTTCCTGCAGTATAATGCATGGGCGAGATCTCGTAGCATATTTATCGCGATAGCTCCTCCCATATCAGGTTAGACATTAGTCTACACATTGTCCTGCTATACCACCAGTTTGCTTTTATTACGTCGGATTGCCTGAAAACATATGTCTTTATAGTGGAGGATATAGTTGAGTTTACAAATCTTTACTGTGCCTTGCAATTTGTACATATTTTTGTTGCTCCCTGGTAACACAGCAGTTTGGTCAGCTCAGGTTGGTTTAAAACCTGCAATATGAAGCTGATTTGGTATTAAAATGCTGATGATATGCTTAAATGTGTTTTCTTGTGCATATTAATGAAAAAAAAAACTCTATTGCCTGTGCTGTAAACAACACTCTCACTGCATGAGATTTTATCCATTTACGCTCATAACAATATGATTAATAATTTACATAAGATCAGTAAAATTTTAACATCAAAATATTCCTAGATCTGGTGGAGAGTTGAATAGCAAAATTAAGCGTTACATAATTGATAGATATTAAACATCTTAGTGGAACTTATTTCACAACCTCCCTCATAGGTGCCTGCAATTATAGTACAATATATATTTAAAAGACCAAATTATTTAATGTCTTTACCTCAGTCAGAATGCTTTTAAACATTTTGTTCTTGTAGAAGAATGTCAAAATATGCTGTCAGAAGAGTAAATGTGCCAGAAATGGAAGGAAAAAACATAGATAGAAAAACTGTTTATTTTATACTTCCATAATACAAAGCACAAATGTGAAAATTATCAGTAAATCAGAGGGCAACATGAAAAAAAAAAATCCACATCCATTTTCATAGCAGTCTGCTCGTCCCCTCTTCTCTAGTCTCCTTTGGGCTTATTTTTCATCCCCTTTTTCCTGGTGAAGAGAAAGAAAGAAAATCTGAATAATTTCAAGTCATTTTTGACCTGCATCTTCAGCATGTGTCACCTCTTACATCCTTTAATTGCAAAAATGAATTC